TGTGGAACACAGGCTTCCCCTCTGTCATTTGCCATCTCTGATTCCCAGGATGAGTTTCAAGATTAGAAGAGACAAAGCCAAGATTATTCTAGTAGGTTTCTGTTGGCTAGGTGCAATTCTAACTCTCAGCTGCACAACCTTTTCCCAGAGTTCCTGAGCCAAATACTGGTTGAAAGATTCAGACTCATTGTGCCATATGACCGGATGAACACCTCAGGCAAGGAGTTCTCCCTACCACCATGGAAATCCAAACACTGTGTGGGAAACCAGTTTTCAAAACAACAGGTTCTTCAAAGTGGTAGAGAGCATAGGGACAAACCAGATGCTTAAATACAGCTGTTTCAGACTGTTGTCTCAAACTAATCAACCTCAGGTCAAGCTCTGAGGTCTACTTCACAGCAATTTCTGCTTCCATCTCCTCCGTGCTGTCATACTTTTTTTTTGCCCTCCCGCCCTCCCCACAGTATCAAGTTTCTTAGGAATACCACAGCTTGCATGCTTCAGACATGTACCAGTGTCTTGGTATAACATACTGACTTATATTAAACAGAGTTCCTTGCACTTAATAACCAGATCAACTTGGGGAGAATAATACCTTAATGGCTGTGTCATGCCAGTTTAACAACAAGAGATTCACAACACATATGAAAAGTACCTTTTTGCAGTACAAGTGAAAATGAAATAATCTGTGTGATGGAGCAAGATAATTCTTATTTCAAAGAAGGAAAATGTACTTACGGGAAACAAGAGAAAAAATACCTTCTCATATGGGCTGTTTAATAAATTTTTGTTATTTTGTGGCCTGGTAGCGTGAGCCAAAATAATTAGATGATTAAAAGTCCCAACAGAATAAAAACTGTCTCTCTAGGAAAGTGAAGGAGTTAAAAAAAAAAACCACTAACATTTAAATAATAAAGACTACAGTCCCCTAAAACCCACAGTTCTACAACATACTTTGTGTGAGTAGCCTTTATAAAATTAACAATACATACCCATCTTGACAGTGCAACGTTGAAGTTGGTCTAAGTGGTGTTTAGCTTTGGTTCTTGAGGCCAGTGGTCTTGAATAATCCAGTGAGGAACTTCACATGTCTCTCAGATGATCTGTCTAAACTCAGCAGCTGTGCAGGGGGTTGAGTGTACAAGAAGCAGATGGATGTTACAGCATCAAGACACACATGTGGCTCTGCTTGTTAGACTGCTAGGTGGCAAGTAAAGATGCAGAGCTGGGCATTTGCCCTCTGCAGTCATGACAGGTAAAATTAGTTGCCAACTGTATGTAACTGTCTGGTTTACCAAGTTGTCATTATGGCTGTCCGTGCTATATATATTAATAGCCTTACAGAATCTTATGTATGGTTTTATAACAGATCTTTTATATGTTGGTTGTGATTTTTTTCCCCCAATGCAGCATGATAAACCAGGGCTGCTGAGCATGGCAAACGCAGGACCTGGTACTAATGGCTCTCAGTTCTTTATTACAACGGTGCCTACTTCTCACCTGGATGGGAAACATGTGGTGTTTGGCCAAGTGATCAAAGGAATGGGCGTAGTTAAAATATTAGAAAACATTGAAGTAAAAGGAGAAAATCCTGCTAAGGTAAACAAAATCCAAAGCACTTAAAAATGATGTTTATTCTTCCATTATATGATGTATATTCATTTCTTCTAAATGCTTGGTGCAATGTTTGGAACTTCCAGTTATGTTAGCTAGTTATTTTTACTAACAGTGTTAATTTCCATTTTAATGTCCTTGTTAAGAGGCTTTTGTTCTTTTGTTGTAAATTTTCTCTGCACAAACAATTGATTTACTGTTCAAAACAGCTGTGAGGGGGGAAGCCTTTATCAAGGTGAAGGTGGAAATGCACAGCTAGAACCATCTTCTTTAATGTAGTAGAACTTCCATGTCTTGTGTTTTGCTGCACCTCAGCTTGCTGCCAGTTCCTCTTCCAGCCTCTCCATGGAGCGTGGGTATGGTGTTCTTGGAATGCTGCTCCTCTGAATGCAACGCTTTTGTAATAAAAGCCATTTGATAAGGATAGGCTATTGATCTGAAATCAATGCATTCAAACGACAAATGAAAAAGCATTTTTACTGAATTTCAGAGCGCACTCAGAAGTTGTGGCTTTTTTGGGGGGGAAATTATCTTAATAAGTAATGCTGCTGTTCACACTTTAATTTTTCAGTTGTGCATCATTGCAGAATGTGGAGAGCTAAAGGAAGGAGATGATTGGGGAATTGTTCCCCAGGATGGATCTGGAGATGCTCATCCAGATTTTCCTGAAGATTCAGATATAGACTTGAAAGATGTAAGTATTTTTCTTTTAAGGTATTTTACAGAATGCAAGACTTGTAGGTAATCTGAGTTACATGGTGTCCGTGATGATGTTCACTAAGCCTTTTTTCTTAACAATCGATCAAGGTCCTGATTAAATGGTGACATTCAATTTTAGGAAAGAGAATGCTATGGGAGGGGATTGCTATCTCTTTTTTTCAGTGCTAATTACAGCTGATTTTTTCCCCAGTAACAAAAACCACAATTACTTAGAATTATTACACTTATTTTTTTTCTGTTCTTTATTTCTTTTTACTTTTGTTTATGGTATAGTGACAAATTGCAATTACTAGAACTCCATCCTGCAGATGACTAACTTAATGTTGTACCTACACACTTTTTCTGTGCAACTTTTTAAATATCCACCCTTAAAAAGATTTTGCCTCACTTACTAGAAATAATAAAGGATCGGCCTTTTTAAAAGATTTTTACTACATCAGAGCTAGCTGTTCTTAATTCCCAGTAGTTGTTTGCTTTTCAGGCCGCTCAAACTGACAGAAGACCTGTTGTTTAGAGTTAGGGAGCAGACTGGTGAAAGCAGCTCTTCTGCAGGTTTTTACTTTATCATGAAAGTGAAATAGACAAACTGCGAGGGAGGGAAAAAAAAGGGGGCTGCACGTATAGATTCCAAATACAGAATTGGAAAATAGAACAGTAAAAAAACATTATAGCTAGAAATCAGAAACTCCTTATATCTGGCTATTGAGAAGCACTTCAACTTGTGAAAATGTTTTTGGATAGCATTTACTGTGGTTCAGAACTGAAGTTGGCAGGTGCTTGTCTCCTTTCACTTGTTCATATAAACTAACTACAGAAACCACGGTGACATTGGTCTCATGCTGTGATCAGTTTTTTTCAAGGTCATTAATTCTAGTAGAGTAGAAGTGTAAACTGATAGTATTACAAATGGCAATATATACATTTGACAGCGCTTAAGACAACTGTGGTATAGACAGCAGTAATTATAAACTGTTTATTGCCACTGGAAAAGTAACTTAACACTTGAAATGTATGCCATTCTGGAAATAGAAATGATGGATTTGATAAAGACAGGCAGGTGTTCTTTTTCTTCTTCCGTAGAAGTTTTAAGTGTTTTGAGAGAAGGAGAACTGTGTTGATACGACTTCTAGTTTGAGAGTGTCCAGAGTTCAGGTGACTAATACCATTTTGAGAAGCAGAAGACAAAAAAATTTTCTCAGGAATAAGGCAGTCTTAGTTGAATACTTTGTTTGTTAACATGTCTTCTTTTCCATGAATAACGGTCAACACCTTTATATATAGCTCTGTGTGGGTAGCAGCTAGGGGAAGGAGTTGAACTGCTATGTTGTCTCTGGTATTTTCTCACCCTTTATACTGTAGAAAATCCATTAGGAATTTAATCTTTCAGACTATTGTCTGAAATAAAGTAGAGAATATTATAGGAGTGGTTTGAAGCTAGTATTTGTCTAAAATTGGAATATTTTTATTCTGAGATTTTATAATCTTTGAAAGAGGATGGACATGGGATCCTACTGTTAAACATTAAGTAATTCAAGCCTTCTTTTATAAGTACATTCATACTTTATATTTTCCATCTATTTTATTAGGTTGACAAGATTGTGACCATAGCAGAAGACATAAAGAATATAGGAAATACTTTCTTCAAATCGCAAAATTGGGCAGTGGCAGCTAAAAAGTATAGTAAAAGTTTACGGTAAGGCTATCATCATTCAATCAGGTAGTTCCTGTAACCCAAATTAATACTGCTATCAAGCAATGATATGTGCATTTAAAAAGTGCCTGTTGCTGTGCTCTTTTCTTTTTTAAAAAAGAGCCTTCTGAATCTGGAAAACATCTGGTTGATTTTTAGCTACTTATTCAAGTAGGGCTGCTACTCATTGCTAGGTAAGAGCTATAGGCAGGAAGTATTGTTTAGAACTGACTAAATGCTCCTTTTTTAATACTCTTGCTGTGCTAGTGCATAACTGGGAAGAAAAGCACAATAGTATACAGGGTAGTTAGTGGACAGGAAAGGAGGGACATACTTTTTCTCTGATTTCTAAAAAACAGTAGGTTTAGGAAACTGGTAAGTTCAAGAGAGGGTACCCTCAAATGTGACGCATACCAAGTCATTATTATTTTTTCTGACTTTCCACACCATCATCTTGACTCCATGTGTAATTCAGACTTGCCTTCAAAATCATGGGCTTTCTGCTTTTGTTTCCATACTGCTCCTTTCCTCTTTTCATGCTTTTTGCTTTATGTATATGAGCTTCTCCTAAAAACTTTTTTTTTTTAAAAGTTATACTGACCTTTATCCCTACCTTCTTAATGATCACTGGTTAACTAGCAATAACAATAATGAAAGAAAAAAGAATTCAAGCATATTTAATGCTTCAGCTGAGTTTTTAACTGACTGGGTTTCAAACAAATGATGTCTTTCCGAAGGATAAAAATGAATCCTTTAATACACCTATTATTGTGTATTAGATGCAACGTCTCTCTCTGCCCTCAAAAAGCCCATCATAGACCAACAGAAATCCCAAAGGAAACAGGATTTCTATGTAAACCTTTTAGAAATCATACAGAAAAAAGGCTGGAATGGATCTTTAAGGATCTTTGTGTTGTATCTTCCATGTCCTCCCCCATTCTTAGGTAAATATCAGGTATAATTATGCCATCCCTTACAATTAGTTGTCTTGCTCACTCTTAAGCACACCCAATGAAGGCTCTTCCAGTTTGAGTAGACAGCTTCTGTTTGGTGCTTATTTGTCCTTGTGGATGGAAAGGATAGTAACTTTCCTGGACTAAACAAATCTGATCATTCCAGCTCCTCTTTATAAGTCATACTTTTAGTGGACATACCTTGTTGTTGTATCTTAAAATCTAATACTTTACATAGGATGGTGTACTTTAGCTGGCACTTTACCAGAACTGATAGGAATAAATAGCTCTTATCGGGGTATCTCCCAATTCTTATGTCCAACTCACCTAGCAAACCATCTGGCAATGTTGTTTTTTCTTTTTACCAACAGTAACCATTATAACCTTCTGTGCTTTTTCTTGTCTTATTGCTGCTTAACCATTTTTTAAAAAATTTATTTTATATGTAAGAATTGACACTTTTTTGTCAAAAAATGTATTACTTCCTATTGTCTCCCTTGATATTAATTTTACTGATTTCTTTGACTTGGAAGCTCTAATTTTGTTTCCAGAATGGTTGCAGTCTTTCATATTTTGATGCGATTTATAAATATTATAGGTGTATTCTGTTTGTTTTGAACATAACACAGTCTTGTGTTATAACTCTCCTTAGCTTTTTACTCTTTTCTCTCCCTTCTGGTTCTCATCTTTTGCATGATGCCCAACAAGTGGAAAAATCACTGCAACTGTGTCTAATTTAGTTTTCAAGTATTCCTATTTCTGTGGTCCAAAGTTGCATACAAACCATGCAACACTCAAAAGATAGGGCATGCAAAAATTGAATTTACATAGGCACAGATCTGCAAAGGCTGCATGAATCATGGCATGCTTAAAATTGTGAATGTATGCAAACATGTGATTTTTATTTTTTAAATAAAAAACACAGAAGTTCTATCAAGTAGGCCATTAAAAGAGTTAGAACTTTTATATCCACAACAGACCTTTGCCACTTGGAAAAAAAACTGACAGCATTAACACATAGCACATTGTAAATTACGAAGAATGGGATACAGTTTGCCTATGAAATAGAGATGCAGTAAATGATGTGGCTCAGTCCTGAACCAATGTCAGTTTTGAAGTTCAGGAAAAAAGTCATGAAGGAAGACACTGGACAGGAGGTGGAGTTACTAATGCTCATAAACCACCCTCCTTTACAAAGTAAAGTTAGCTTCAGATTTTAGCCATAAATGCTTAAACTAATTAAAATATTACTGAGGGAACTGAAGAAGAGATGAAGCTTCCCGTGAACGTGGAAGGTGCAGTGGTGGTGTTGACTTTTTGCCACTGATGAGCAACATGTGTTTTGAGAATAAACAGTCATTGAGATAAATTCTAATGGTTTCATGCCATGTAGAATAGTGCGTTTGTCTAAGAAAAAGAATGCTGTTAGTACAGTGGACTAGGAGTTACAGAAAAACACTCACCAGTGAGTTCATCTTTTTTGTCAAGGTAGGTCTTACGTATTTAGTTTAAAAAATACTTGTAATAGTGGAATTGAAGCTGCTTTAAAAATACCAGTTTGGATAGGCCAGTTCACACATATCTGTGGAAAAATAGCTAAGGGTAGAACAAAATGGAAGTTGCAACACTAATACATGTTCTTTGTAAATCTGTTTTTCTGCAGGTATGTAGAAGCTTCTGAAGCAGTGGCAAAGGAGGCAGACAAACCAAAGTTAAAGACTGTTGCTTTGACCTGTGTTTTAAACATTGGCGCTTGTAAACTAAAACTGTCAGATTGGCAGGGAGCCATTGAAAGCTGTTCAGAGGTAAATTTAATGTTTAGTATTTTGATTAACAATTGGCCTATATAGAAATTGGAGACTGAAACTACAAAGCTTTTTTAAAGAGTTTTCTGACAAGCTTATGATTTGAAAGTAAACAAAGTAGAAGGCTGATTGTGAAGTTATTACTAATTTTCCAGTATGTGGCTTTTTTTAAAAGATTTTGAAATTGAAATGATTCATTAGAAACAAACAAAAGAGGGCTGTTGCTTACTGCCAGAAAAAATGCACACTGTCATTGTCAGTTTGGTTTGCAGAGCTAATTTTTATATTACAAAGACTTAAACTGTCTTCAGTGAAGGAGGAATACTTTTCTCTGGAAGACTAGTATGAGCAAAATGTTTTATTTACTTGCTTTTAGATTTGATTGTCTTGTATTTTATTCATTGAAGTGATTTCACTAACTAAAGCCCTTTCAGGTAGGCTTAGTGGTGAAATGAAACCAGTGAATAGGAAGAAAAAAAGAAGGAAACAATAAATATGGAAATATTGAAAAATAATAGAATTAAAGGAAAAAAAAAAAGGAACAGTGACATAGACATTCTGACAGAATTTAGTACATTTGAGGAAACTTTAAATAATTCAGTAAAACTCTGAAATTTTGAAGGAAACAGAGTAAAGAATGGTCTTATCTGTTAGCAGAGGATCCTGAGCAGCATCTCCTAGGGCTTCATGCTGAAAGCAGGAGTCTCAGCTAATCTGTGTGTGAGGGTTCTTTAGAGAGCTGGCTTGCTTTCTAGCCTGCTGATGGCGTTACCACATGGAAAACTTTCATAAACCTATATTCAGAATGGACAAATGGGGAATGAGGAAAGGGAAAAAAAAAAAAAGAAAACTGTGTAATGTGGTATCTGTCATCTAGAAAATGGTAAAAATTGAAACAGCATTTAAGTGTTACAGATAGAAATTATTAATCATAATACTTGCCATTGTGGAAAAAAAACCCCACTTCCTTTTTTTTAAGATTACAGAATTGTTAGATAAAGGCAACTCCATAGCTGTAATAGACTTCTGTAAGGTATTTAGTTTACGTCTCGTAACAACTGTTAAACAGTGTAACGGTGTTTTAATCAGAACAGCAGTTTCCTAAGATTAACTAGTAGAGTTCAAGATAACTGTTAATGAGAAATTATACACTTTCACTTTTATGATTTCCTAAGGCCAAAAGCAATTTATATTAACAGTCTATAATACATGCATTATTTGGTGTAAATAAAGAATTATGAACGGCTGAACCTGTTCAAAGAAACCTTGCTTTCAAATAGCTGTAAGCACAATGGTTGAGCTAAAACGAAGGAATGCTACCTATGTGTACACAATACAGACACCCAATTTTCCAATTCTTGACACAGAAGAGGCTCTGGGCTTTATAGCAGACAGATCAGGATGAGTGCCCAGAGTAATGCTTCCTTTATATTAACATCCAATACTGAAGTGATTTAAAAAAATCTGGATGCATCATCTAATGTCTATAATTCTTAATTAATGATTTAAAGTTAATAAATGAAATTAATAAAGCCACACATTCATGCAAAGAGATTTCCTCTAATCACTAAGAAACTCTATTCTTTAAAATAATTTAAAAAAAGACACACCATAGAATAGGAAAAAAGAACGCGATCTTCACAGGCAAGAAAACAAAACAGCTAGCTAGCCAAATTAACTGAGATACTTTGGAAAAATAATTCAAGTAATCAAATAGTGGAACAATCTCTTTGCCTAGCCACTGTATTTCCTATTTTGATATTGTCATATTAGAGCTGGCATATACGCATTAGTGAAACCATTCAGCTCAGAAAAGGCATAATGACTGGAACTTGGTAAGGTTCCTGAAACATGAGATGGATTGCTCGTATGTATCTTTCTAGTCTACAGTGAAAAAAGCTTTACAGGAAATCTGCATGTTTTCTTTATGATGCCATTTGACGGTTTTTTGTGTGAAGGAAGGAGCTGCAATATAGAGAGTTGTACTGTAAGACTCCAGGTTAAGATAATTTGAACTGCAGCAACACCTTTGCCTTGACAGCTATATCTAAATATATATATATATGTATACATACGCATGCAGAGGTTCCATTTTATCCTCATGTATGCTCATCCTTCACAAAAGACCACTTCTGGTGCAGTGGTATTAAAACTGATTAGCTAGCTATTCAGTGTGCTACAATATACCAATTCCTTTTTACACAGTTAATGTTTTGACAGCTTACCCTCAAACCAACTGGGAGGATTGTCTGCTGGTGTGAACTGTGCCATTTGCAGAGAGGGGAGGCTGTGAAGTATATGAAATGTTAATGTGACAATTTTATTAAATTTACAGGCTCTTAAAATAGATCCAGCAAATACTAAAGCTCTCTACAGACGGGCTCAAGGATGGCAGGGAATAAAAGATCTCGATCAGGCATTGGTAATGATCACAATACTTAATTTTTTTTTTTTAAATCTAAACATTTCATCAGAACATTAATTTATATTTCTCTTTTATTTAAGGCTGATCTTAAAAAGGCTCATGAAATAGCCCCTGAAGACAAAGGTAAAGTAAAGCTGTTCCTTTTAAGAATGTAACAAAGTAAGCAGGGTAGTATTTAGTAGGAAATCATACCAGCGTGATGCCTAAAATGCCGGCTTCTAACAGCTTAAACCCTGATGTATTGAGCACAGAGCCCACTGAGGTGGAAACCTGTTTTTATACAGCAGTGATGATTCTGTTGTGCTGGGAAACCTGCTTATGTACGTCAACAGCATGCCTCTTGAACCGTGTCCCTATCTCACAGGGGTCTTACTAACTTTCTTGATTTCCTGGTCTCATTGGATAAGATTTTTAGCTCATAAATTCTGTGTTGGCACCAATACTATGCTTGCTACACCCTCCTCTACCTGGTTACCTTACCAGGTGAAACAAAGTAAGGGACAAAGTTTTTTGGCTGCTGGTATCTGACCTAATAGAAGATTAAATGCAGTTCTATTAAATGAAATAACAGCAGTTGCAGCAGTGTGAGCTGGTCTTGACATATTAGGAGACGTAATGTAAAGAGATTACTATAACTGTATCATGGATTTTCTTTTTAAGCAGCTATCCAGACGGAAACACTCAGAATCAAACAGAAGCTAAAAGCCCAAAAGGAGAAAGAGAAGGCAGCTTATGCTAAAATGTTTGCTTGATTTTTTTTCTAAACTTTTAAATCTATGCACTAACTCATGCAAAAGGATAATTGGAGCTGCTTCTTTCATTTGCCCTGTACTGCAGTTTTCAGTGTTTACAACTCAAAAGCCTAATAAAGACAAACTGTTCAAAGGTGAGGAGGTTTTCTTTTTTTAAACTGTAATAACTTGTGTTTTGCGACTCAGGTGTGTTTCTAATGTGTAAATCAGTAGTGGCTGTGTTTTTGCAGCTTAATAAGTTAGTGCTTCCTAAGAAGCTTGGTTTCACACCAAGACAATTTAGGCAGTTTCTATTAGAGTTTTTATTAGAGCAGGCCTGATTTCTTGTAAGGAATAAAAATGCTGGTAGACATACAATGAAGGTGCAATATTACACTTTTTTCTTAAACTGCTTTACAGGTTGTATTGCAGATGGGCTCCCTATTATCATCAGGAAAAAAAAAAAATCTAACTGTAAATTTGATGTCAAATGTGTAACACTTAAAAGAAGTGACGATTTTCTAGACTGATGTGTTTTCCCTACTGCAGGGTAGGATTACATATAGTAAATCACTCCAGGTAGAGAGAGAAAATACTTTTTTTTTTAAGGGTAGGTACTAAATTCTTCCACCATACCCACGATTCTGGATATGGCTCCTGTTATCACTGAACTTCAGCAATAAATCCACGATCTAAAGTTCTTTGTCAGTCCTGAGAAGAACTTTCTTCTGCCTGCCGCACAACTCCTGTAAAGAAGTCCTGTTTAAATAAGGCTAGGGTTTAACCAGAAGGCACCAACTTTCCATTTAATGCAACAGTCATACCTAAAATTCAGAATGGCACATTAGTCTCAAACTCTTTAACATTCAAGTCAGTGCTGTACTTTAATTACACCGCAGCATAAAATATTTGTGGGTGATCAGAAGTCACTGAATAGATTTCCCGTCAGTTTACATCCCATTATAAGCTGGTCCTCCTCCACCTTCAGGCACTACCCAGTTAATGTTCTGACTTGGGTCTTTAATATCACATGTTTTGCAGTGGACACAGTTCTGAGCATTTATTTGCAGTCTTGATCCTTCTCCTGTTTCCAGAGGAATATATTCGTAAACTCCTGCGAAGAGCAAGAGAGAGCTATCACTTCACTGAACAGTTTCCCCCTGCATGTATGCTCTACTACTTACCAGCAAGCGTAATGAGGGAAGTATATTACTAGTGTAATTCAACTGTCGTCTTCCATGTTTACTAATTATTTTGCCATGAAAGTACTGTTAATATATTTTAAGACCTGCACTTGAACCCTCTTCTAGGAGGAGGATTGGGATAGAATGCTTGAAGTAGCAGGCCAGGGGGACTCTTCCTGAAGTACTTAAGTCTTTCACCTTGCAAAAACAGCTCAGACACACATTTTTATTACCTACCTGCTGGACAAAATCTTTGTTCCGGTCCATCGAATACAGCCAAATTCCTGCTTACAGGGATGCTGTCGTCTTTGAGAGTTAAATGAGCAGGCTGGTCATGTTCATGGTTTGTACCACTTAAAGCCACAGATGACAGGAGATCAAAACTGATTTTTCCATCAGGCTTTGGGTATTCAATAGGCGTGCAATCTTTGGCTGGCTTGAGCTGAGCAAAATCTGGTCCTAAATATATTTTTAATAAGTTTCAGTATAGAATTACTGTAATTTGCAGTTACTCAAGAACAATTTAATTAAGCTATTTTAACTTCCCTTGTCATCAGAATGAAGTATTTCATAAAAGGTAGCCTTTTTCATGAAACAAAAGACTATGCTAAGTGGAATAGTGTTTTAATGTCTTCATTTACATCATATGCTAGGTAATAGGACAAAGTCTGCTTCACTGCCTTATCGTTGATTTCTTTTCTACACTTTAAGGCCTCACCACTTGACCTAGATGTACTCTAGCTTCAAGTAAGACCAGAAAAGGCTGACATACACATTTAGTATCTTCTTTCAGGAGATAATGAAATTACCTGGGTGTTTTAATGTCCATGGTTCCATTCCTCTCAGTAGCCAATAAAATATACCTGTGTAAATCATTCCTCCATACACACCGAGTATGCTATGGCAGGATGGTCGGATGTTTCTAACTGCATACAGCTCTTTCCAGACCCAGGACTTTTTCAGGTTCTCTTCGTATTCTTGCACATCAAGTCCTAAGGCAGTACATTACTTGTTAGGTACCTACAGTACATAAAGACTATCCTTGAAATAAAAAATAATTGCTGAGTAAAGGCAATTGTTAGCAACAAATGCAGCAAAATGAGAATTTCAGAATAGTAAGCTAGGAATATACTAGACAACATAGTTCAGCCTCTTGAAAAGATCTGTTTTGTTGGCAGTTATCAGCAGATATCTACTGCTCCTTTGTAGCCTCTATTAAATGACCCACAAGCAGCATTAAATTGCCTCAAACCTCAGCGAAATATAAAGATAACCGGCAAGGTGGCTATACTGGCATCTCAATGGGAAAATGGCTACTTGCTCATAGAATCTAAGAATTGACCAGGAGAGTTTACCTGTGATCCAAGAGCCAGTTTTGTAATTTTGTCAAGTTCAAAAGCTTTTCCTTTGCAAGTTATGCAACCACAAACATTCTGATTTCAGTAACTATGACTATGGCCCAATGGATGATGCCAGTGCTAGAGAACAATTTTTGTCCCTTTGTAATCAGCAAGTTAATGAGATATATAGACTACAAACTTTTGATTTAAACTCTTTGATTGTATTCTTTACAAATGCTAGATACTGCACACTTGACATGACACATCTACTGCAGTGTAGTTAAAGCCAAGTAATTGTCTTAGAAAAAAAAAGTGTTTCTTCAAATAACAATTTTCTGAGAGCTTCCCCTACACCATTCTCCATTACTATTGTATAGGAACAGATGTTCTAAATAATAAGTTTTAAGCCTTGTCTATACATGAAAACATGCTTCAGTCCATATTTTCAGTCTCACATAAGGTTCTGAAAAAAGCTCGTTATCTATGCACAGAGAAGAAATTCTACTCTCTTGATGAAACTGTAAACAGCTTATAAAACCTGTCCGTAATAAAACAAAAGCGGCACACTCCCCAGTAAGAGTGTTTATTTTTTCAGATGGGTTCTAAGCATTTTAACCTGTTACACTAGTTGAAGTTTTAATTGTTCAGCATACCCTCTGTGGCAACATGTATTGCATGTTTCAGCTGAACGAGATCTCAGTAGGACAGAATCCACCATTACGCAGAAGAGATTTCTAAAACAATAATCATGTGGCACCTGGCTATAGTGTCCACCTCCAGAATGACTGAAACTCTAATTGGGTTCTCTCTCTGTACAGTCTTTGTTAACAGGTTTCAGGGAACAACCAAGGCTTAAATGAATTCGCTACAATGCGGTCAGGATCAGGTGATTACTTGAATGTGCCTGCATTACATATAATAGGAAATACACGGAGTCTCAAACTGAGGAGACTATAAAATTAAAGACAGAAAAAGAGGACTGAAGGAAAAAGGTATCCTAACAACAAAACAGTGAAGAGCAAACTTGAAAAATCTCACCCTATTTTGCTTACATTTAATTTGTACCTTTTAATTTTTTTCTCTCTGATTCTGCAGCCTTTCAGTAACGCTTTTTGAATCATAATGTGCTAATTTTTAGCATATTTGTAGGAATGAAATATATACTATTCTTGTTTACTTATACATATTACTTTTCAGATGCTCATTAGAGGCGTATCTTTGTTCTAGCAGTAGTATCAATACTTAAGAATAACTAGGCTAAACTTTATTAATTTCTTTCTTTCTTAAATCATTTAACAGTATAAATAGTAAATAAACAATAAATATCTTTTTAAACCACCACATTCATTTCATGATTTACTTACATTCCCAACTAATTCCTTCAGACACATTTAGTTACCGCTAAGCTGTTGGTGGTTCCAATTGAACACAAGGTAATTACAAATCGAAGTGCAGTGATCTTACCTATTGTCTTTGATTGGAGATTTTCATTGATTAATTGGCTAAAGATGGCTTCTGAAGCCAACATGCCGCTTTTCATGGCGGTATGCGTCCCTTTGATCTTAGGAACATTCATGAGTCCAGGACTGCAACCAATTAATAATCCACCTGGGAAGGTGAGTTTGGGTATTGACTTGAAGAGGAAACAGAAAGAAAGATGGTTTGTTTTTTTAAAGTGAAAATAACATTCTGGAAATGAAACTGGCATGAGGCTTGAGTGTCCTTTACATTTTTAGACTTGCATGTGCACTATCTAAAAATACACCACTTAATCAAGGGATTTTGGCATAGTAAGCAAATAAGAATACAGACATTGTACTGGGGCTGAGTATAAAATAATGACAAGACAACATTTTCCTTGTATCCCCTCTCCAGTTGCTTTGTCTGCAACAAGACTGTGGTAATGTCACCCACTGATACTCTTTTCCTCCTTCAAATTTAAGTGAATTCTTTTTAAAAAAAACCCAGACATTTGTGTTCCTGTTTTCCACAGTAAGTTGTCTGTATCTCATCTAACAGTTTATTACTCAGTGCTTTTTTCCACAAATCTTTTCTATGAAACTGCGCAGTGCCCTCCCCATCCCCCCCAGGTCCCACTTATTTTAGAAGCTGGTCAGCAGCCAACAAATATATTTTTGGCGCAAATCATTGTCTTACTCCTGTTCTGTAAGAAGCATAATGTCATTGAGGACAGTCAACTCACAAACCTAAGACAGCCAGATGATCTGCAAACATCAGATCTATAGTATTAATATAGTATGTTATACGGCTGTATTAACTAAGGAATACCTCAACTATCAGGATAGTTAATCTCACCCTCATCCAATGAGATTAAGATTTTAGACAGGGAACAGCTTCAAAACGTGGATTGACTGCAGCGCTTTGAGCAGAAAGCTGTGATCAAATCCTAGGTCTGAAATTGCTGAAGCTAAGTTATGAACATAGCGTTCCTCCGAAAGTCTTTAGTACTGAGCAGCGCTTCTGAACCTAACATACTGCTTTTATTAAAGCTGCCTGAAAGAATTAATTTTTTAATAGCCTAAATAATTTGACCCCAAACAAGTCGTTTTATTTCATGAAATATGAAATAAGTGTCAAAAAAATGTATCCCTTGGAATTCAAGATGATCTGAAAA